CAAACTAGTGTTGCCTAGAAGCAGAGTCTGAGATAGGGATTTGGTTGCAAATGATTTATTGAGGAAATGCTCTCAGAAAAAACCTATAAGGAAAAAAGTAGAACAAGATAGAGAAGGGGGAAAAGCTGAGCAAAGATGTGGTCTCAGCTAAAGTCTAGACTTGACCTGGTCTGCAAGGAGAGAGCCAATCACACAGACTAATTGCCTCACCTTGAGGCAAGCAGGTCAGCCTTTTACAGCCCAATATCAGTCAGTCATTGGTTGTGGGCCACCCCTGGAGAGTGGTGAGGGGATGCATAGCTTCCTGTCAGGTGGTGCCTATTGGCCAAGGGCAATTCTCAGTCTCCCTGGCTGGGGGCCATTGGCAGCTGTTGGGCATGGGGTGCAAATGGGTGTAGAGTGTTGCACTGGCCGGAAAAGAGAATCTTTTCAGTGGGGAAAAGAGCATCCACCACTATCCACTTTACCACTTAGCTCTACTTGCTTCTCATATTACACTCACTCCTTTCAGGAACGACTTTTCCAGGATTCTGTGAGCGTAATTCCTGGGGAAATTTACAGAAGGAGGGTCGTTGGGAGAAACAGCAACCCCATTGGGACTGCAGTTGGTCCCAAAGCTGAAACCAATGCACATTGTCTCCCACCTCTATCCCCTATGCTGGATTTCCTCCGCTCTTGGCTGGCACTTCTGCTGGTCCAGATGGCTGGCCTGGCGAGTCAGGTAAAGTCTCAGGACCAACTGCAGTACCAGTGGCTTTCATTTGTCCCATTAACTCTCCTCTCGTAAATTTCCCCGGGAATTATGACAGAGAAAGACTGTACCTGGATAAAGATAATTTAACTTGTGAAGCAAGGAGTACACTGTGGTAGACTCTGTTCTGGTGCCTGCCCAGCACTGATCAGGTTGTGGTTGCTGTACTTTCCTATTTACAGTTAAAACGACATGGAAGTACCAACAAGTAACCCAGTGTATTATTTGAGTGCCAAAGACATTTCTCCCTGTATAGTAGCCGTTCTACCTCTCACGCTAATCAGGGTCAATTACCCCTGTAAGGAGGGCAACTCATTTCCATGCCTGCTGGCCTCCTGACACAAGGAACCCAAAGTGAACAGGAAGCAGCTGCAGCCTTTAGTGTTGGTAAGCTTCTTCCTGTGTCTCCAGGTGGAAGCATCCCTGCTCCGGGAACTAGGACTCCTAGACCTGCAGACCTTCACATTGTGGGGATAGAAAGTACCCATTCTCCTAGTAAGTCATTGGAAATGATGGGGAATGGGTCCACTCCTACATCCACTCCTTAATTCCTGGACACAACCATACTACCCTTTGGAGACACAGCACCAACTAATAGTTTTTGATTTAAGGAGTACAGTATATCTCTAAGCTGGTACCTCAACTGCACCTTTTAAGAGGCCTTCCCACCACTCTATCAGGCCAGCAGCTTCTGGATAGTGGGGTATGGGGTAAGACTAGTAACTCCCATGGGCATATGCCTACTGCTGCTTTTCCTTTGCCAGAAGTGGTCCTTTATCTGAAGCAGTATTGTGTGAGATAGCATGTCAATGAGTCAGACGCTCTGTGAGGCCTTGCATAATGGTAATGGCCAGGACCATGTGAGCAGAGAAGGCAAATCCATTCTCTAATTACGTGTCAACTAGGATCAGGATGAATCACTGCCCTTTTCAGGGTGGAAGTGTCACTGTAATCAATTTCCCACTAAGTGGCAGGACAGTGCTGCTTCTGGGACTTAGAACTGGTCTCTGTTACTGACAGGTCAGATGTTCAGCAGCAGCTGTAACTAGCAAACTTGGAGGAAGAAGGCCCATGAATGGCTTCCATTTTGCTACCAGAGCTACTCCATTCATGAGCCCATTGTTTCAGCATTGGGTTGGCTGGGGACAGAGGCTAGGTCACTTGTGGGAATTTTGGGAACTGGCTGAATCGTCCTGTCCACTTGGTTGTTTGGCACTCTTCTACGTTGGATACTCTCTGGTGTATGTTAATGTACAATACGAAAATCATCACATTTTTTTGGTCACTAGCATAGGTTCAGCCCCATGCTTCTTCCCTAGAACTTCTTAGCCTTAATATTGCTATCTTGCTCCTTTAAGTCCCTTGGCCAACAAGTTAATCACTGCCTATTAGTCTGTTATATCCTTACCTTCGGCTACTAGTCTATCCACAAAAAAGTGAGTGAGTGACACTGCCCACAACTCTGCAATTGAAGTTTTCCTTTAGCCACTGGTTTTTAGGAGCATCCTTGAACGGGCTGTAGCGCAGCAGCAGTCCATAGCAGGCTTCTACCAACATCTGGGTCCACCCATCCACAAACCAAGCTTGGGTTTTTCCCTCTTCATCAGCAGATTACAGGGAGCCTGCCATGAAACTACAGCAACGAGCTGAGGGAAAGGCATTGGTAGCACAGTGAAGGTGATGTGGGGGGTCTGGACCACTTGTTTGTAGAGCTCACTTGTAGCTTTTGGATCAGGTTGAGATCAATCCCAGATATACCACTGCCATCTTACTACTGGGTACACATGAACTTATGACTTGGTGGGTCTGTCAATACTCAGCTCATCATGGCCAGTGATGGCTACATAATCACTTAAAAAATTCATTACAAACACTATCTCTTTCAGGGCCCAGTAGATACCAGGAGTGATTGTTTAAATGGTCTACTGCAGATGGCACATCTTGCTGCAGAACCTTAGGGGGTGTACGTTGTGATTTTCCTCTGGGGCTTGACCCAAACTCCACTTGGCATCCTTTTATACGTATACCATGATACCATGGGTCTGCCAGGATGTATGGTCCAAGTGGGAGGGCTGCTTGTACCTCAGCCTTACCTCTTGAAGGGCTCTTTCTTGTTCTGGGTTTCGCTCAAAACTAGCAGCTTTCTGCGTCATTTCTCTGAGTCAGTAACTCAGAGTGGTGTTCTCTAGTGCAATAAAATGTTGCATTCAAAACCCAAAGGGCCTATCAAGCACTGTGCTTCTTTCTTAGCAGTAAGAGTTGCAAAGTACAATAATACACCCTTCACTTTGGAGAGGATGTCCTGGCGTGCTTGAGACCACTGGCCCTCTAGAAACCCCAAAAGTGATAGGCCCCTAAAACTTTTATCTCCCACTCTTTGGAGTCCACTCATCTTACCAAGGCAGCCAGAGTACTTGCCACTTGTTACTTCTCAGGTCCTGTTAACATCATGTCATGAATATCGTAGATCAACATTAAATTCTGTGGGATGTAAGGATGATCTGGGTCCCTTCAGTCTATATAAGGACATCAAGAAGAATTGGCTCTGAATACTATTTTTGAGAAAAATATTATTTTGAGAAAAAATATATTTAAATAACATTTTTTTCTCCTTTAGTGCCTTTTGCCATCTTTTTTTTTTTAAAAAAAAACAAACTTCAAAGCAAGAAAGGAGGAGACTAAACAAATTAAGTAATGAGAATTCAAATGAAATAGGGGTTTAATTTGGCATTCTTTAATTAAATTTGGGAAGTTCAACTGTAGTAAGCATTTCCTGATGGATTTTCTATTTAATTAGATAAACTTATATAGTCTGTGCTGGAATGGAATAATATTGAGAAGTCTATGATTTTGCAGCACCTATATTTGGCAAAATAGTCAAAAGAATCATAATTAAAGACAACTTACTTGATAAGTTTTATCTTGAAAAATATTTGTCAAGGAAAGGCACTCTAAATGAAAAATAACTGAGAAAATATTTGGTCTCTAATATTTAGACATTTCAATATGGGAAACAATTAGAATTGAAAATACTTCTCTTTAACCAAATTTACTCTGAGCTTATCTCAACCCTATGGAGAAAATATTTCCCCAGTTAAAAATGTATTGGCCTAAGAGAAGAGTCAATTGAAAGTGTCAGCCTTTTCAAACTTATTAACCATGAATACAACTTTGAAAAGGATTGCAGGCAATTTTATGGAAAAGTGAAACATAATAAGATCATAGTGAAAACAATTATTCTTCAGACGAACTTTGGTGACATGGTATTAGAGAAAGATGTGGCTAAAGTATATAAATATGAACCATAAATAGTCATATTATGTCATTTTTAATATTTGGATAATAAATATAAAATTATAATTGTTCTAATGCCCAACATATGTTTTTCAGAAAGAATTTTATTTGTGAAAGTGATTTTTGAACATAATTATTATTTATATTACTGGTATAACAAAACCAATCTGTCAGTCAATAAATACTTCAAAAATGGTATCATTTTCATTTAAGGGCCCTTTTAACTCTCAAAAGTGTTATGATTTAGATGATAAGTTTGGTCACTCAAATGGAATGAAATGGAGAATGGTCTGGGAGGAGAAGGTTGAGATGGGGGTAAAATTGGACCAATGAATATGTTGGATATGTTGGGTCTGGAATTTCCTCACCACGTCTACACAGCAGTGACACATATGCAATTAAAAATATAGGTCTAGAGCTCAAGAGGGAGGTAGGAGCTAGAAATATTGATCTGGAGGTTGTCAGCTTATGAGTGTGGCCAAACGATGGGAGCGGCTAGCTCAGCAGAGAATAACACGTAGTGTGAAAAGGAGAGGAATTGTTGGCCATGTCTGGAGTTTAAGGATGGCATTCTAGCCTCTGAGGAAAAAAACATAAGAAAGATTAGGACAGAACCAGATATCCATGAAACTATGGTCAATCTAGGTTAAGACAAGACTCAGGTATACAGACATAAAATATGAATCCGGAAACAAAGTGGGATTTCAGCAGTTAGAACCTAGATGAGAAGAAGATGATGGCAGGATCGACTTGATCCTGACCTCCAGCCCTGAAGGAAAGGAAGGTGCCAATCATTTTATAAGGAAACCATTTGGAAATCAGAGAACAAAAACAGGGTCTTAGGCCCAGCTCTAAGGTATCAGGCAAGAAGTTTGTCCTGTATTTTGAACAGTTTTTAGGGAACAGGGCCAGACATTCATTACACAGTAAGATGGATTATTCTTCCTTCTCGCAGAATCCGTGCGATGATAAACGGCACAAAGACATCTGGTCCAGAGAGAAAACTTGTGACCACTTACCAAAGTTCCTTGTAATCGGGCCACAAAAAACAGGTAAGAATAGCCAATTGTGCTGCTTGCACTCTTTTTTTTTTAATTATGAAATATATTGTCATGTGGTGTTACTGGATTAGGTTTTGCTTTGTGAAATATTGAGACACCCATGCAAGTTCATATTTGTGTCGCTCTTCATCCCTATGGATCATCTTTATGCCAGGAACCTCAAAGGGACCCTAATGCTGCCTATTAATTAGACTTAAGGACTAAACTTTTAACTCTAGATTTTAAAACTGCTCAACAGACATCATAATTTTTAACCACTTTGAGTTTATGTGTCACAGTTGTGGTATGTGATTTTTAATTTCTACTTTTTGTGACTTTGCCTAATTAAGTCCTGAATTAAGTTATAAAAAAAGTGCTTTGACTTGATTCAAACTATTTTACATGGCACATCAGTCTTAAATTTATTTTTTTTCAAAGCCACTGCCATTATTACTTTCAAATATTCTACTTGTGTGCTTTGTTTTGTTAAATAATCATTAGGCATAAATATGGTTTGGACCTATTTTCTCTACACCTGAGGTTCATCAGACATTTTTTCCTTTGGTATTTGTTCGTGTGCTGAAGCACTAGTGTATAAGAATGTAGTAAAAGAGAGTGAAAGTATTTCACCAATGAGATGACACTTTCAATTAGAATATTTTATACTTTCTGGAGTATGTGACAGTTTTATACACTTTACTCATGTCCCAATTAATTAAAGTTTTTATTGAGTTGCTGTGTTTTGAATTCACTACTTTGACTAGAAGCATTTTCATCAGTGAGTGCACAAACCATAACACAGAACAAACAGTCACAATAAATAAGCCTGGCTGAGATGAAGACATTCGTAACACCAGCAAGTAGATCATTTTAAAGGTTGTGGGCAAAATTTCCAGACTATTAGATATTGGTTGTTGAAATCTTTTATTCCTCCAGGAATATAAATTATATTACAACAGTAAGTTACACATGTGCAGAGAGGGGTGAAAAAAGCATGTATTTCCAGATACATCACTTTCGTTGTTGTTGTTGTTTAAAATGTGCAGTAATTTGCTACCAACTCCCTTACAGCAGTGCTAACTCTGGAATGACTACTAAAGAAACAAAACACTCCTGTGTTGTAAAATTATGTTACAAATTTAATTTAAAGACATATCTTCTATCATGTGTCATTGAATGTTATTACTTCTTAGTTCTGCTAGAAAATTACAGATTAGTAAGTATAAATCTGTTTTTCCTCCTTGTTGTTTGTATTTAGAAAGACAATAACTTACACCTTTATATTTTAATATTTGACCTACCAGTATGGCAATAATAAAGCTTTTAGCTGGTTTTGGTTTTCCCAAGACAAACAAACAAGTTAAAACAAAGAAATTGGATGATGATAATATTTTATATGCTATAAAAATGCTATTTTAATGTGAAAATGGCTGTGATAATTCTTAAAATCCATTCAACCCTAGAAGTCTGGAAGCTTCTTTTGTTCTCCTTATTGCTTCAGGTGGCAAAACTCTCGCTGTTGTCAGAGGCTGTAAATTCCCTGGAGGGTGGGCACAGATAAATGCTAAGTATCTGGCCTTCAATGCAAAGTTGTCTTTAAACAACTTAAACATGGCCCATGCATCTCTTTCAATAAACATGAAATATGAAAGTGGTTCTCAAACCCCTATTTGCTCAGTTGTTGCGAGGTGAGAATGGAAGGATGAGATAACCCACTTCTCCAATGCAGACTCCTGGAGGGAATTCCCATCAGCTGAAAATCGGGGAGAGGACGGGGAGAGGCCTGGGTTTATGGTGCTCACAGTTTTAATCCTAGTCCTTCTAGAATCCTTTGGACAGACAGTCGTCCTTCATGACTCCAGGTCAAATTTTGATATTACCAGGGTAGGAGAGGATTTCTAAAAGGGTTAAATTTAGCACAATAATTCTAAAAGCATAATTCATTGGCCTTAAATCTTCCAGAAGCTCAGTGTCCTCATTTTCAATAGGAGTTTCTCATGATTTTACTGGCTTACCCTTGTAAACTTACTTTGGCAAAACTAAAAAGAAGTTGATTTTATATAAAATACAATAAAGTTTCTTTTAGAGTATCACAAGGTATGAGACCTGTTCCACCTCCTCCATGAAAATATTTATATCAAAGACATTGGATAGGGCCGGCCCCGTGGCTTGGTGGTTAAGTGAGCGCGCTCCACTGCTGGCGACCCGGGTTCGGATCCCGGACTCGCACCGACGTGCTGCTTCTCTGGCCATGCTGAGGCCGCGTCCCACATACAGCAACTAGAAGGATGTGCAGCTATGACACACAACTATCTACTGGGGCTTTGGGGGGAAAAAATAAATAAATAAAATCTTTAAAAAAAAAAAAAGACATTGGATAAAAACGAGTGTCAAGGATAGAAGAAAACACAGGTGATAATAAAAAATATATACATTTTGGGGCCAGCCCCGTGGCTTAGTGGTTAAGTGCACACGCTCCGCTACTGGCGGCCCAGGTTCGGATCCTGGGCGCGCACCGACGCACCGCTTCTCCGGCCATGCTGAGGCCGCGTCCCACATACAGCAACTAGAAGGATGTGCAACTATGACATACAACTATCTATTGGGGCTTTGGGGAGGAAAAAAGGGGGAAAAAAAGGAGGAGGATTGGCAATAGATGTTAGCTCAGGGCTGGTCTTCCTCAGCAAAAAGAGGAGAATTGGCATGGACGTTAGCTCAGGGCTGATCTTCCTCACACACAAAAAATATATATATATATACATTTGGAAGTGGTGGACCCAGATTTTATGGCTGATTATAAGAATATCAAGCCACATGTCTACTGTCCCTAGTTGAAAGTGCTTTCTCCTCCCTTCCTGTCAGTTGCCTCCTGATGTCCCTCCTGCTCCTGAAGGCATGAAGGTGTATAGCTCAGAACATAGAGGGTTTGGCTTTCTGAAGCCCAGGGAGATCTGGGTACAATTCTGTGACCATCGGGGTGATTAAACATTTGTACGTGTTACTGAGTGAGGTTATGAAGTATTTATTTTATGATATTCAGCAATAATTCAAAAATATTCCTTTATTTGTGCCCTGGATCAATCTATTCTCAACATCTCAGGGATATGAAACTACCAATATTCTCAACTCTCTTGTGTGTCTCAAAAATCTCTCTCTCTGTCTCATTTTCTCTCTCTCTTTCACACGCACACACACACACACACACACACACGCTTCATTCTCATCGTCAGTTAAACATTTTCATGTGGGGCCCACTCTAAAAAGGATGTAGAAAGAACCCAGCTGGATTCCCTGCCCCCTTCCAGCTATTACTCTATACTACTCAATCTTTAGTTTATTTCTTCTCCCTGGAATATTTTTGTTCCTCCTCTCACATTCTCTCCTTTTTGAACTCCTATTATTTTCAGAAGCAGATCAGTTCTTCAAGACTGCTATCGCCCCTCATAACTTTCATGTCGGTATTTTTCAGTGTGTTTAAGATAGTTCTTCTGCCTGGTCCTTTGGGATTCTAATTCAGTTCTTAACTAGTTCTAACTCCTTCAATTTTTTTATTGAGTTTATATGATTTGATTCCATATTTTTAAATTCTTTTTAAATTAGTACTTAAATCTCCTTAAGAGCATTTATTAATTTTTGCCCTCCCATTTCACTAGGAGCCTCCCATACTGGATGTCTTAACATTTCTTCCATCTAAGATGGTTGGTCCTCTTAGATCTGTTGTTATTTTCCTTTAACGACTCAGATCTCTACTCAATCTTGGTGGTCATGTAAAGCTGTGAGGATCCAAATAGGTGGCAATCTCATTAATACTTAAAGCACAGTAGCCTTTGCTCCTATGAGCTTAAGACATATTAGAACAAAATGCAAATTCTTTGATGATCTTCTCTGTTTCCAGATCCCCAGCTGCAATGATTATTGTTCTGCCAGGCCACCAGTGTAGGGCCAGGAAATCTCCAGCTCTCCTAGGGCCGGGAAATCCAACAAATTCTCCTAAATCCAACGTGTTACAAAAGGAATAATCTTTTCCAGAAGGGAAGCTTTGAATTATGACAGCTGTGAAGACCTAGTCACTTCATGATCCTTTCTGCCATGGCCCTCAGTCCTTGGCCCAACTCAAATGGAAAGAGTGTTCAGAGATTACATCTGAGCCTTCTGTGATGTGTAGACTCAGTGGGTTCTGTTAGCTAGATGTTCAGCCTAATGCCTCAGTCATCAGACTTGATCGCCCCACCTTGCCAGGGTAGAACATTCAAGTGGCCATCCTTTCAGCATCCTGCCCTCTTCTTTCAACCTTACTGGGAGTACTTATGTTTTTGTTTGTTTGTTTGTTTATTGTAGTAACATTGGTTTATAAGATTGTATAAATTTCAGGTGTACATCATTATACTTCTATTTCTGCATGGATTACATCATGTTCTCATGTTCACCACCCGAGTACTAATTACAGTCAGTCACCACACACATGTGCCTAATTATTCCTTTCACCCTCCTCCCTCACCCCTTCCCCTCTGATAACCACCAGTCCAATCTCTGTCTCTTATGTGTTTGTTTGTTGTTGTTATTATCTACTACTTAATGAGGGAGATCATATGGTATTTGACCTTCTCCCTCTGACTTATTTCACTTTGCATAATACCCTCAATGTCCATCCATGTTGTCACAAATGGCTGGATTTCATCGTTTCTTATGGCTGAGTAGTATTCCATTGTGTATATATACCACATCTTCTTTATCCATTCGTCCCTTGATGGGCACTTAGGTTGCTTCCAAGTCTTGGCGATTGTGAATAACGCTGCAATGAACAGGGGTGCATGTATCTTTATGCATTGGTGTTTTCACGTTCTTTGGATAAATACCCAGCAGTGGAATAGCTGGATCATATGGTAGTTCTATCCTTGATTTTTTGAGGAATCTCCATACTGTTTCTATAGTGGCTGCACCAGTTTGCACTCCCACCAGTATGAGAGTTCCCTTCTCTCGACATCCTCTCCAACACTTGTTTCCTGTCATGTTAATTATAACCATTCTGATGGGCATGAGGTGATATCTCATTGTAGTTTTGATTTGCATTTCCTTGATAGTTAATGATGTTGAACATCTTTTCATGTGTCTGTTGGCCATCTGTATATCTTCTTTGCAGAAATGTCTGTTCAGGTCTTTTGCCCAGGAATACTTATGTTTTTAAGGTATAACCTTAGAATATGCTTCCTCCTGGAAGCTTTCACTGACTTCCCAAGACTAAATCGCCCATTTTCTCATGTATTGGAAAAGCACTCTGGTCCTCTCATTATGTAACCTGTCTCCCTATGTCAATTACCTGTTTACTTGACCCAAGGCCACACATACACTTTAAGTTTATTGAGACCAGCAAACGTGTTTTTCTTATCTAGAGTTATCACCAATCATTACTACAAAGACTTTCATAGAGTAGCACCAGTCAACATCTGTTGAATAGTTTGATTTAATTTAATTGATCTGAATGTAAATATTAATTGAGGACCCACCAGGTTCAGCTATTGCGTGAAATTCCCTTGATGCTTTAACCACTCACCTGACTCCAGCAAGGAAATTGAACCACCAAATTTCTGAAGTTCTCCCCTTGCCGTAACTTACATCTGCCTTACTTTGGCTGTGTATTACTCTTAAATCAGGTGTTTGCGTAAATAGAATAGTAAAGTCTAATAAAAGAACACTTAGGTTGTTGCCACCTGAAATGCACCTAATAGATTTTAAGGAAATTATTATGACACTTGAAAGAATTGGTCTTTTGAATATTATTTTTTGAGCAAAAATTTTGCTAAAATAATAGTTGTTTCTTCTTTTATTGCCATATAACCTTTTGCTTCCTTTTTTGTAATAGGAACAACTGCACTTTATCTATTTCTTCTTATGCACCCTTCCATCATCAGCAATCTCCCCAGCCCCAAAACATTTGAAGAAGTTCAATTCTTTAATGGGAACAACTATCACAAGGGAATTGACTGGTAAGAAAAATAACAAACAATAAAGTCCATTGTTAACATATGCTCAATCACAGCAGAGCAATTATAGATGTATGCATGGCATCTGCATAATTACAGAATAAATTTGTTACACTCAATTCTACCACAGTGAATTAGAAATTAATTTATAATGAGGATATGTTTAATCATTGTTGCCTATAATTTGATTTGGACAGTGCAATAATGATAATATTTTTCTGGTAAATTAATATGATTGAATAAAGAGGATTATGGAATATTTTTCATCAGAATTATTCATAAGGATATTTAAAATTCTCCTTAAGCATATTATTATTTTACTGTGCCTAGAATTTTTTTAAACTAAATACATAATTTGTCTTCACAATGATGCTTGAGGAAACAAATAAACCAGTGGGTTGTTTTATTTTACACTCTGTGACATGTATCTTCATTAACCACATAGACTGTAAATGGCGTATTATAATATAAGCTATTTGTCATGCAAATAATAGCAGAGCATTTCCAAAACCATATTAATGCTAGCGACACACGTGCATAAAAGGAATATTACTTTGCATTTGATAAATTGTGAAAAATTTAAAAATCACAATATTTTCCCTAAACTGAAATAGAATAAACCTGATACTAGAACTCATCTTCACTCTGGGGCTTTTTTCTAGCTCTATCCCAATTTTCTAAGAAAATATGACCCTGATTTCCAATTCCCAGGTATATAAGGCAAATCTCCCCTGAGGAATATTCCCCTCAATGCATCCCTCTGTAGCAGGTAACTTTATGTCAGCATCACACATGAACCTGTCCTCAGGAAAAGGCCCATTCTTTTTAGATGTAGCTAGGATTAGAGTGGGGCAGGGGTGATACCAGTGAGCAGATTTGGCTTCCCATTGTGAGTAGAGATGCGTTCACTCTGCACCTAAGACATCCCTGGTCTACCTTACTTTACAAAGACTAAACGAATTTTGGAATTGCATGCAGGTTACTAAAAGCAGAGCAGCAGTGTCCTCTTCTCTGTGAGCTCGAACAGAACACAGATTGTTAAGCAGGAATGTAGATGAGACTTCTTACCACTTCACATTTGGGAAACATAATAACAAATGTCAAAGAGGAAAATAAGTGTCTTATAGGAATTCTTAATTGCTCGCATTATTTATTTCTAGAACATTTGAGGGTTAGACAAGTGGTGAGGTGTAAGGAAGGTTACGCACATAATTAAAGCCTTGCGCTGAATTAACCTCCGAACATATTGATTGCATAATCTACACACAGAGGAACGTTCTGACAGCATATGGAGGAGTGAACCTACCGAGGCTCCACAGGATCAACTGGCAGGAAATATCCCTTAATTACTCTAGATAGACTATAATGTGTTCGCGTTGCTACACATGCTACAAATTATGCAGAAGTTAAAAGAGAGGAGAGCAGCGACGCCCTAAGCTGTTAAGTATTTTATAGCTGTTCTGACTTATGCATCTTCCTCTCTTGTGCATTTTAATCTCCATTTAAGAATTTTGCATTCAAGTTTGCAAACATAAATTTACTATTTTAAAATATTTACTAGGCAATATGGTGTAATTTGCTGTTTGCTAAGGGTAAATTTAGTTTTTCTGGATTTGGCTTTTGATAGCACAGAACATCAACCCAAACCTAAAGGAGTTTCCTTCCGTTCCTTAACAACCCACTTATTTCATCTCACTCCTTCCCCTGCCCTAACTAGTTCATTAGAAATAATGGTTTGGGTTGTTTTCACATTCAAAGGATATGGAATAGCTAGTTTTTTGACTATTATAACATTAATAATTATAAATTGATATAAGTGAATGTAAAAATGGTCAAATTATTTCGTATGCATAGTATGGCAGGGAAAAAATTTCATTCTCAGGTTAATGAATTGTTTTCTCCACCTTCAGGTATATGGACTTTTTCCCTACTCCATCCAATGTTACGAGTGACTTCCTGTTTGAAAAGAGTGCCAATTACTTCCATTCGGAAGAAGCTCCCAAGAGAGCTGCATCTCTGGTCCCCAAAGCCAAGATCATCACCATCCTCATCAACCCCTCAGACAGGGCATACTCCTGGTACCAGGTATGAAGCAGTGAAAAATACTATTAAAGCGTTTTCTCATAGCTTGAATGTAAGCAATGATGAATACCAAAATAAAATCCTAATGTATTGACTAATCAAATGTTAAAAGAACTAAGCCAAGAAATAAAAAAATAAAAAGAAATTATGAAAAATAAGAGCTGAATATTTAATTCATATCAAGTTGGGCAAAACATTTCAAGCATAAAATAATAGGAAAAATCACACATCAAAGGATTACTAGATTGACTAAACCAAATAAACATGTAAAGCGCTGGTCTGTCACAATTAACAAAATTAAAATTTAATTTCTAAGTAGAGCATCTTTAGCAAACACATGGTAAGTGACTTAGTGTCCTCAATTTGTAAAACAGTTCCTGCAAATTGATAAATAAATAAATAAATATATCAGTAGGAAAATGACCAAATAAGCAAAAGGCATAGATAGACAATTCACACGCACACGCACACACACACACACGCAATTACTCAACAGTTTACGTGAAAAATGATCCACCCAATTAGGGATCAACAAAATACAAATCAAAATGATACTCTTTTTGAATATCATCTTGACAAACATGGTAATGTTTATTCTGTCTGTTGGCCAGGGTGTGATGTTAAAGGGACTCAGACATTCCAATAGAAGGATATGCAGAGAGATTCTTTCTAAAAATTAATTTGGTGATAGTCATTGAAAGGTTTTCAAAGGCCGTTTTGTGCTGTGGTTCCTCTTCTGGAATTGATCATAAAGAAAACATCAAAGGGTTGGACAAATATTTATCCCTTTATTTATACATCAAAGTACTATCTATAAAAATAATAACAACAAAAGGAAAAATAAATGGCCAATAATATAGATTTGTGTCAAACTGAAATGAAATATTCTGCAGCTACATTTAATGATGGTTTTAATCAATAGAATGATAATTAAAACATTGTGGTCATTCTAATGTGTGGATAGATATTAATCAAATGGCCATAAACATATATAATTAGAAATTTTGAATGCTCTTTGAGGAAGTATGTAAGGTGCTATGAGAGCGTTATTTCTAGAGAAATAAACTTGAGACTTAAAACTGAAGGATGAGTAGGGATTAACTGGGTAGGGGTAGACGGAGAGTGGGGGAGAGGGGAAAGTGTGTGTAGTCCACTGGTGCAGAGAACCACAGCACATTTAAAGAACTAAGAAAATTTCCATGTGACTAGAGGGCAAAACCCAAGGTGGAGACTTGTGAGAAGTCAAGTGGGAGAACCATGTGGCTGCCATTCTTTGAGCAAGTGAAAGCCTTTGAGAAACGTAAAGCCAGTGTGTGACTACCAGAATTCCTTTTAGAAAACATTATACTGTCTGCTATTTGAAGAATGAATTGGAGTGGAACAAGTGACTACATGTGTTCAGAGAAATCAAATAGAGGCTGCCGCAGTCGTCCTGCTGAAAACTAGAGGTAGCACAAAGACGCTAAGTAGAAACTGAGTGAAGTATGAAGTATTGAGAGATGTTTGGGGACTAAAATCAACAGAATCTGGTGAGAAAACTGTGTCAAGGGTGAATCAAATTTCCAATCTGGGCAAATGGATGATGGCCATATATTCCCATGAAGAAAGAAGCACGGAAGAAGGATACAGGAGTTGTGTGGCGGGGGGGAGAGGCTAACGATGAGATGCAGATGGCGATCATGAGGTGTGGAATCACTGCCATGCAGAAAGGAACAGTAGTTAGCTGGCACTCTGGGGAGACTCTGAGCTGGAGACAGAAATTTGTGAATCAGAAGCAAAAAGCCACAAAAATGGTGAAATTGCCTAGAGAGAGAGGTTAGAGAAGAAAAGTACAGAGTAGAATGAGGAAGCCAGACAGACAAGGGAATACAGCGGAAGGCGTAGAAGCAAAAATCCAGGAGTATAGTGACAGTGAATACAAGGTAATAGAGTACTGTCACACGGAGGAGGTGACAACAGTGTCAAACAGCTGCTAAGAAAGTAAACAATTAGGCAAAATGAGGCCTGAATTATTTTTACTGAGGTGAAAGATACGGAAGAAGTGGAGCCCTTAGCAAGAGAGCGAAAAGAGCAAAACCAGATAGACTGGGTCTTGGAATGATTAAGTGGGGATGAAGAAATGTAGGCAGCACTTGGAAAAGACTCGAGAAATGTGATCACACAGGGGAAACACATGACACATGCTTATTACATAGAAGTTGAAGTGGGCTCAAGGAAAATGTGTTCTATGGCGGTGGTGGTTTGAATTATGATAAGTTTCCAAAGAAAGAGCTACATCAAAGGAGAGGAAATGGAGAATCAGTCCTGTGAGGATCCTGAGAGGCAGGAAGGAGGGATGGCTACAGGAAATGGCTTAGATGGGAGGGAAGTGCTCCAGTTCCCGAGTTCTTCCCGGTTCTGGTGCTGGGACCATTCTGGCAGTCTGGTGGAATCTGTGGGCCCCATTTCAGAAATATATTTTAAAAGCATAAAACTAAATACATAGAATTACCAAGGAAGCGACTATATTGAAATATAATTATCAAAATACTTTTGAATCAGTAACAAATATTTATTTATTAAATTATTAAATGGCAAAATCTAATGGTGGGTCTAATATTGTAATTTGTCGTGATAAACATAAACATTTGATATATCTGAAACACCTGTAATGTGATGTAAAAATAACTGATTCTTATTGGTGGTAAAATCACAGTACAATAAATGCTAAATTTCATGTAGAGGATACTGAAAATAAAGAGGCCCATTTTTGCAGATCCAAGTTTATAGACCCTCTAAATTCAATCTATTAAGAACCTGCACATTGAAACTTAAGGCAGAGAAGAGGGGACAAATTTACATGCTGGTAAATTTGAAGGTCTAGGATAGAGAAATGCAAGTGACTGTGATGGTCTCTTCTTCCTTTGAGAACTCGAGAAGGAGTTAATGTGATGAAAAAAGGGAGATAATTTGGGAGGCACTGTTTGAGGAGATAAGAGGCGGTGTGAACTCTTCATAGAGGGGTAAGATAAAGTTGACCAGAGAAATGTAAAATTGCATACAGCAATGAAGCTCTAACTGGAGTTGGTCGTCTTGAATTTACCATGGTAGTAATAATGTATATGTACTAAAATCCCAATGATATGAGGCATTTGTGGATGTATATGTTTAATGCATATAGAAAATTAATGCCAAAATAAAGAAGATTGAAAGGGAATTTTTTAAGAGTGTAGTAAGATAACAAATAATTTTAGTTTTTTCTTTGTTCTTTCTCTTGACTTTTCAAAGTTTCTTTAATAAACATATATTACTGAGAACAAATAATGACAGACAGAAAAATATGACACTGCAAAGTGGGATTGCAAGTGGTTGGGGATCCAAGTGGGACACTTGGATTGGGAGCAAGATTCAGAAATTATTATTATAATACGTGAGTCAGAGTCTCTCTCAAGATATAAAAATATGCCTTTCTCACTTTATGAAAATTCATATTGCAAAGCAAGATAAACTTACATTTTAAAACTATGCCAAAAGCATTGAGACGGTAAGCCTTAATTTAAAATTTTGAATGCAAATACTTGGGGCAAAACATTGCACATTTTCCTAGCAGAAAGCCTGGTCACTACTCAGAGCAGACTGATATGAAGCTTTTTTTTCACACAGATTAAACCGTCTAAATAGTTTAAATCATTTAAAGAGAATCTATGCCTGCTTGTTCAAGTAAATTCTTTGAACATACACCTTTGAAAGGAATTATTTTTTCTGATAATGCTGTTTATTGCTGTACTGCTAAAGGTAGGGTCCCCAAACTGCTCCACATTTCAAAATAATGCAGCCTGTTACTTAGCTGGTCCTGTCTATTCGGTAAATACCATAAATCCAAAGCCCAGCAGGTGTAATTCAGAAACTCCTACAATGTCACCTGCCACTGTAATTTCTACCCCATATTTTTATAATGGCCTCACAGAAGAGATATAGTGCTATTTTTTTTTTCCTAAAATATGTCCCTTTGTGACTTCTGGTCATATTTTTAATGCTAATCTTAGTTGCAGAAATATAAAGAGAAGTTGGTCCTAATCTGGTGTAAGTCAATATAGAGAAGATCAAGTTCCACATTATCACAGCTTAAAGTAGAAATTTTAGCATTAATGTATTAATATGCAATAGTATGTTTATATTTATTCAAGTTATATAGTTTCTACACATTATATCAATTAGATGTATTGTGTAGTCTCGATGTACTCAGCATAATACATATACATATAAGAATGTCAGTAAATATACAAGGAGAGGGCTTCAAAAGTTTTTATTAGTTCCACCAATCTACCACTCACTAGTTACTCTTTAACCACTCACCACTTCCTAATTATCTTTAATTTTTAGTCATTTTTATTTCTAACTCGCATATTAGGTCTGCTATTGCACAATTGTATTTGGCCTTGATATCCTTCCATCCTTATCTTGCAATAAATTTTCTCTATCTTCACTTTTAGATATCTCACAAAATCAATTCATCCATCCCACACACCTCATCCACCTTCACTCAAACTTACTTTAGAGATAAAGTCCTCTTAGTTTCCACGCTTATTTTTTTTTGCTTATCAAAATCTGTCTCATTAAATTTTGGCTCAAAAGCTTCAACCATTGAAAAAGATCCCTTCATCTTTCATTCAGTATTAATCACTTATTGGTCTGGCTATCACAGCAAATAGCTGATACCTCTAGTCAAAGACAGGACTTTATTACAATCTGTTAATCTATTGTCTCTCGTCCAAGATTTTGATCTCTTTGAAGATGGCAATTATATCTTACTCACATCTCTTTATCTCCAGAGTCTATTGCAGTTCTTTGTCTGGTGAGGAGCGTATTGAATGCTCATGAAATCGTATTGACTGTTAACTTGATCTCTCATTGTGTTGGGCTGTTGTGCGTGAGCAGTGATGGTTTGATGAGAGGATGTGGTACTGAAAAGAGGCAGGGAAGCAGTATTGGGGAATCAGCAGGGTTAGGTGGAAACCCTGGGGAGAGCAAAAGGAAAGGACCCTGGGCAGCATCAACAGGAATATGACACCTAAACAAGCATTGGGAATAGACATCTGCTCTCTCTGTACCCACAGCACCTGCCACACGGGGATACTGGGGAAATGTCAGAACCCTCGAGGGCGGCTGTAATAAAACAATGAGCACAGTAGTGTGTGAGCCCACTCTTGCCAATTGAAATCTCTTTTCATCAGGCTTGATTTGTCTGGTCCCTGGTATCTTTTCATTTCTGATCAGACTCATGAAGAAAATCCTTGTTCTCTGTTTCTTGCCTTGCAGCTAAACATTCCAGACGTGAGGAAAACCACAGGCCTGTCTGCATACTACTTGATGTATATGGAAGGCTTGTACTTTAAATAAGCAATATGCCAATGCCTAGGTTTCAATACATGCACTTTTTACCTTTTCATTCTAAAATCAATTAGTCATTTTTCATTACTTTTTGGAAATAAAAGACACACACATACACACACATCACACACATGCACACATACTTGTGCAGGCATAAAGAAAATTAATTTTACAATTGATTTCCTGTTAAAGCACCAACGATCACATGAAGATCCAGCTGCCCTGAGGTTTAATTTCTATGAAGTTATTACAACAGGACATTGGGCCCCATCTGACCTAAAGACTTTGCAGAGGAGATGCCTAGTACCTGGATGGTATGCGGTCCACATAGAAAGATGGCTAACGTACTTTGCTACTTCTCAGGTAATGTCCTGAAATTAATTTCTTCTGTTTATTTTATCATGATTGTGTTGCACTCACAAACAGAGAATATGAATTAATATTGCCACAGATAGGGATTTATAATCAGACATGAACATACCTAAGAAAGAAATGTGGACTTTTATGTTTTTAATGTCAAAAGTAGTATTAAAATTTTGTTAAGTGGCTGTGAAACACATTCTTGGAATCTTCTTTTGGATAGTAGCTGGTGTCAAAGTCCTAAGTCCTCACACAAGAGACATCACTTGATTCATAGGCAGTAACTTTCAACTGCTAACAGAGCAGCCAGTTAGACAATACCTTTATGGAACACCGTGTGGGGATACTCATGTGTAGTCTGTCCTGTGGGACTCTTGTAGAGAAAGAAGGAGGTCATGCCTTAGACTGTCAAAATGGGAAGTGCTATATCAGCTCCAGGGACGTGGGATAGAACAAGAAATAAGGATTTGAGGGAAGTGTCCATATCGTTTATATTCTGCATCCCAGATCAGGTTACAGCTAGAAGCTGAGTTCTCTGTCATAGTTTGTAAGGAGAATAGATGGGTAATTTTCATCTGTGTGCCCACTATTTCCAAGCCCTTGGCTCCAATATTATTAGTTCATTGGATTTCGTAGGCTGGATAATTATCTGATTGCACGACAGATGGAAAATCATGTTTCTACTGAACAACTAAATCGAGAGTGTCTATGTTTATTTCTGATTTACAATCATGTTAGTTAAGGGTTATAAATGATGCTTATGGCAAACTTTAATTGTTTATTTGGAAGGACACGAGAATAGTAAACATTAAAATGTATTCTAAGTAGGGCATATTTTCTTCCTTTTCACACTGACCTAATTGATTAATGTCATACTAGGTCAAGGAAGGCAGCTCAATCTATTTAATTTAGTTTTGTTCTTCACATAGTGACTATTTTTGACTTTACAGTTGCTAATTATTGATGGACAGCAGCTGAGATCTGACCCAGCTACTGTGATGGATGAAGTCCAGAAGTTTCTGGGAGTTACACCTCATTATAATTACTCTGAAGCACTAACGTGAGTCTATTCTCATGCTTGATTTCACTTCCATTATTTGCCATCATAAATTATCAGTGGTAGGTGTGTATATAGCATCATTAATACTAGCTATGAATTTATACATCGTTATGCTACTCAAAAGCAGTCAAAGGAATATTCTCATTATTCATGTTGTGTCTCCCTTTTGAAGACCACGAATACTTTATCTTATAATCTTATAGACATTTTATATGTCACAAATTCCTCATTTTATGAGATTTTTCCCAATATAAGTTTGGTTAAGTAATCTTTTTACATGCCTACTCTGTGCAGAAAGTGTCCTAGAAATTGAAGTTACAAAGGTGAAAATAATGCAGTCTTTCCCTCCAAGTAATTTACAGGTTAGAAAAGAAATGCTGACGCCGTTGTTGCTCTGTGAAGGTGAGCAGTACTTCAGGCAGAATTGGGAAAGGGATACATTCAGGTTTCACTCCGTATTTATTAGATTATGTATAACCAAATACAATCACGTATAATGTTCCAGTTATCTATTGTTGCGTGACAGACCATCCCAAACTCACCGGCATATAACCGCGGTCATTTTATTATGTCCATGGAGTCTGTGGGCTGGGAATTCAGACATGACACAGCCGGATAGCTTGTCTCTGCTCATAATACCTGGGGCCACAGCTGGGAAGACGTGAATATCTGGGTACAACTCGAATGGCTGGGGACGAGAGTTATCCGGAGGCTTCTTCACTTCCTCACTGACATCTCTGGCTCTTGGACTGGGATGGCTCAAAGGCTGAGCTCAATGGGCCGAGACCTCTCCTTGTGGCTTTCTCACAGTGCAGTGGCTGTCTTCTGAGAGGGAGTGATGTGTCAAGGGAGCATGGTCCGAGAGAGCCCTGGCCTTCTCTGACCTAGCCTTGCAAGTCACACACCGTCACTTACTCCGCATCCTACTGATTACAACCAAGTCATGAAATCCAGTCCAAATCCAAGGGAAGGGAAGTGAGCCTCCCTCTCTTGATGGGGAGGGGCAAGGGCATTCTGCAGAAAAGAGTGCGGGCGGGGAGATATTGTTGCAGTCATCTTGGTAAAATAAAACCATATACTTGGTAATTAAAAAATGGAAAAAAATGTAAAGAAGCAAAATAACAAAAAAACAAAAGCAAAACCTCCAAGCAGCCAAAACATGTTTTAAAAGGGCATGTCCTTGACTCCCTCACAAGGCCTGATATAAAACCTATTACATTTTAGAGAAAATTCTAACAAGCCTGATTATATAACTTTCCAGTTTGTAGCAGATTAGAATCAGCAATTAGACAATTAGAGAGGGTAATGGAGGGACAGGAAAAGCAGTAATAAGATTGGGTTGTTCCTTATCCACTAAAACAACCCTAATGAAGTTTTTCCCTACACATGGAAATAACAACACAAGGCATGCCCCTGCTGATGAGGTCCCCTGCCTCGCTGCAGAAGTTCAGGGAATGGTTCTATCCTGTTTACTACAAATAGTTGCTTATGGTTCAATAAACCTGTAAAATCATACATTTAAAGAAGGGATTACAAACAAGTACAGAATATATGGTTTTTAATATATCTCACATCACAAAAATTCATAACTATAGTGATGTTCAGCATAATAAAAGAACTTGTACGGCAGCCAATTCATGTCCTCGAAGTTGTCTAACAGTTATTTGAGAAAGGCTTTGCATCTCAATTTCACAATTTCATGCCTCCTAAAATGAAACTATAAAAGAGTGGATTGACATCTTAGAAAGAATAAATGCCCTTTGTTAGACTTTGGGTATATAATGTTGTCAATGCAATAAATGGAATCAGGACAGCAGCATCATGTGTATTCGAGGTTATGACAGCCCTATCTGAAAGAATGACTTTCAGTATCCTGGATGGCTGTCCTTCCTCAGGTTGTATTCAGCTCCGCCTCCCAGCAGCTGCCGTGGAGAGCAAGGAGAGACTGCAGCCCGGCCTGAGACCTCAGCACACCTGACAGCAAAAGAGATGCTTTCAGCATGTGTATAAATATCTTGGCTTTGTTGCCAGAGCTGTATTTTACCTTAATGCAGTTAAATATTCTCATCCTGAGGCAGAAAATGCCGTTTAGGGGCACCGTTATGTCGACTTCCCCATCTCATTTTGCACAGCATGCTGAATTGTTTTTCCTCTTGGGAAATTAATGAAAACTAGAGAAAGGACTGTGATAGGCAAAGAACAGATTGAAAAGTCCAGGTTGGAAATGACTATGTCTTCCTTTTATCCATTTAACCAGTGATGTATTTAATTTTAATTGATGACTTGTACTAGGACAACCTGGACTGCAAGGATCGGGCCTCTAATAACAGGTTGGGCAGGGAACTATGAAGAAAATTTCCCTCTCCCCCTAAATGAGTTCACATATGTGCAGAGGCAAATTGCAGGTGCACCGGTATTATAGGAATGGGCCCAGGGCAATGAAATATTCTGCAACTAATTAACTTTACATCCCAGTCAATTATGCGTCATCCTTCTAAAACATCTGCTGAGCAACAAAAATGCAAACCTTTTCGATGTTTTATGCATGCAGCAAGTCCCATAGCAATAAATTTAAAATTTCCCTTCTTATTTGGTTCATTCTTTCATTTTTCCTATCTTGTTAGTCGTAAACAAAAATTCTTACATATCTGACTTTAAACAAAATAATTAGGCCACACATGCTTTCTTTTGTAACTTTGTGCAGCCACGAGAGCAAAACATTAGAATTTCTTTAAGAGTATAGAGACCTGAATTATCCAATAGAATCATCTGCCTTCAACAGAAGAAATGAAGAGTTGTCTAATCTCCCACTCACTATTTGTACAGCCCATGTCTCATGTTGTCTGGAAAAAATATATAATAAATTATATTTTTACACTTTTAATTTCCTCCTTGAGAAGTGTAAGCATTTTGGACTGTAAAAAAATACAATATTTTACCAAACTAAAAGCTTTAATTTCTGTGTGTATTCACAGAAGTATATTTACTTTACATTCAGTCACTTTACCATTGAATGATTTCAAAGAAATCTGTTAGTATATTGACAGGAAATCATATTAATAAGTAAATAAATCTTCTAAAGGTCCTTTATATATGGGTTGTAGTTCTGATGATTGGTCCTTGATCTTTTATGGATGAATAGGTAAAATATGGAACTTAAGTTCATAATTTCAACATGAGATTGAACTAAAGATCTATATGTCTTTTTTATTACAGTAGAAATATTCAAAAATATTTAATAACATATAGTTTATTTAATCTCAGTAAGGCTCTCTCAAATCAATTCAATAAATATTTGTAGAACTGAATTAAATTAAATTGAAGCCAAGGGCATACGAAAGTGCATTTCCTTTATCCAATTGGTGAGGCTATCTCACTCAAAATTCCATATACAATTTATAATCATTACACTTTTTATAATCATTTATGTTTGATCTTTTGTAGGTTTGATCCCCAGAAGGGCTTTTGGTGTCAACTACTGGAAGGAGGAAAGACCAAATGCCTTGGAAAAAGCAAAGGCCGAAAATATCCACCCATGGATCCAGAGGTAGTATTTTCCTAATCTTTGAGATACTCTGGTAAATCTCTGTGCATGGAACTTTTTCAAAACTAGTGACAATAAATTTACTTCCTTTTTCTGCTCTTTCTTTGCTATTAATAGTTTTATATACTTAGACAGACTAACAGAGATAGATGATTGATAGATACCCATAGAAATTGCTGTTGGGATGTAATTCAAATGCAAATACTGAACAGTAACTCCTTTCCAAATATGTAAAGTACTTAAATAAATTGTTTGCTAAACAAGTGATTTTGGAGAAAATATATAAGCATTATTATCGTATACTGAATATTTGTATTCAGTGCCTATACCACGCATGGTACTGGGTTAAGCAATGAAGAGTAAAGAGTTCTGACCACCAATTACAACATGTGAGTAGGGCGGATTTTCCACACCACCAAGCAATGCTTGACACCAGCTGGGTGTCCTATAATTCAACTCAATGCTGACATTTTCTACCCAGAGATTGCATCAGATTCCACAGGTTGAGGGCTCAGTCCTATAAGTCTGCCCTCCACCTGCCACTTCAGATGCCAGTCACAAGCCCAGGTTGTCACCTGTGCTTCTGACCAGCTGGTTATAGATTGGAGGTTTTGACGACACCTTCCTTGGGTTTGATTAATTTGCTAGTGTGGTTCACAGAACTCAGAGAAACATTTTACTTACTGGATCACCGGTTTATTATAAGAGGACACAACTCAGGAACAGTCAGATGGACGAGACACACAGGGCAAGGTATGGGAAAAGGGCACGGAGCTTCCAGGACTCTCTGAGTGTGTCACTCTCCCTGCATCTTCATGTGTTCACCAACCCAGAAGCTCTTTGAACCCTGGCCTTTGCAGGAGTTTTTATGGAGGCTTCGTTACCTAGGCATGGTTGATTAAATCATTGGCCAATGGCGATTGATTCAACGTCCAGCCCCTCTGCCCTCCCTAGAAGTCAGGGGAGTAGAGCTTAAAGTTCCAACCCTCTAATCACAGGGTTGGTTCCCCTGGCAACTAGCTCTCATCCTTAGGTAATGTCCAAAAGCTACCTCATTAACATAACAAAAGACAACTTTATCACTCTCCCACTTAGGAAATTCCAAGGGTTTTAGGAGCTCTGTGCCAGAAACCCGGACAAAGGCCAAATATATATTACTTATTATAAATCACGATATCACAGAGAGAGTACAGGATAAAACAGTTTTGAACCCAGATTTATTATAGGAGCGTAAATTAGTTATGGTCACTGATTTATAATAAGATGCATAAAACAAATGGACAAACTGCAAAAAGGCAGGAAAAAAAAACTCTCAGTAGAAGTGATAGTATGAGAAGGTAGACCAGGGTTGGGAAACCAGTTAGCAATCAGCTGAGCCAGATATGATGAGCATGTCTCCTAAGGCAAGGTGAGCAAAGGGAGGATAGAAGTGATTCAGGTGTTACTATGAAAATAGAAGTACCAGAAGGTCCTTAGATTGTACCTTTGAACTTGACAATTTCAAAAAGATTTCAGAAATCACTTTAATCTGCCAAGAAATCAATGTAATGTTCCCATTACTTCTATAAATATGTATCCAAAATTTTAAGTGGTTACAGCCTGGTTTAAGGGAAGAAATGTAATGAAATACCTGGTTAATGGTACAAGACAAAATGTAGTTGTCTTAAGTCCATTTTCACAGTATACACAAAAGTTGCTAAGGGAGTTTTATGAAGAAAGAGACTCATTCGTGCTAAAGTATTGGGAAGGGCTTAAGAGAGATGGTGTAACCTTGACCAGATGGAAAACGATGTGTGGGCTGTTGCTACCTATGCGTACACAGGAAAAGTGTTCATCCATACTATTTTATCAGAGACACAGAACTATGTTCAGTAGGTTATAATATGAAATAAGGGACATCCAGAAAGAAAACCCAATTATAAATTTTCTGCTTTCCATAAACAAAATCAAACATAAACTAAAACCATTGACATATTTGATAATCCTTTTTTTTAAATCATTCACCTAATAAGGGCCAATCACTCCAGCTTGACTAGGAATGTAAGAATCGTAAGAAAGACCATTATAATGATTTTTATAATGAGACTTTATAATATTTTTGAAGTAGAAAACTCTTGATGATTAAAAAAAAATCCACTTGGTCCTGAATAGAGAAAATATTTTTGTAATGTTGCAAGTTGTTTCTTTAATCCTGAATTTCAGCTTTTATGATCATTTATGTTCACTCTTTATTTTTATGCTATGGCCCAATTTTACAGAATTTACAATTTTAAAGGAAATGTATGTTTTCTTCTAGCTTGCTTCTGTAGATTTGGTACCACATCCGGTCCCTACCTCATTCTTCTTTAGCATTATGTACCTCTCATCGACTTTCCTCGCTACATAGACTTCATCAACCCCACAATAAATGCCAAAAAGTTCCATCTGATAGATAAGCCACATATGATCTATGTAGACTTATTTTTATCTTACAGCTACAGTTCTGCCAAACCTTTTCAAAAGGTAAAAATGAGTGACATCTGAGGAAAAATACAAAGAAATACATATTTTATAGATACCTATACTGTAATAGAATTTCTTAAGAAATGTAGATTGCACAATCTCATTTATGAACTAATGACTTCCTTCACGTCTTCTTTTTCTTTTTGCTTTCCAGTCTAGAACTTTCCTCTCTAATTACTACCGAGATCATAATGTGGAACTGTCCAAACTGCTGCATAGACTGGGGCAGCCCCTGCCATCCTGGCTGAGGCAGGAGTTGCAGAAAGTGAGGTAGCACCGGAGACAGGAACCAAGGCTCGCGAGATGCTTACTTGATTATTCAATAGAAAAACAGACCCCACGACTTTTATCCCCTGAATGCCCTTGTGATTGTCAACAGAGGTCTGTGTGAATAAATTTCCTTCCATCTTTTTCATCAAATGAAAACTGTTACATATGCACGCATTGGCAATTGCTAGCATCAAACCCTGGCAGAGCTTTTGGGAAATAGTATGGGGTTTTGTGGCATTATCCAGTTTCCAGTGTGGGGCTCATAACACAGCCAGTTCCTCTGCCAGCCTTAAGGTTTCAGAAACTGTGTGTATGACTGAGAACCCTGATGATATGCAAGTGACGAATTAGAATCTTGAGGAAAAGACAAGGACTGAGTTATCTGTAAATGAGATTGGGAATAACCCAATATTTGAATGAAGGGCTTACATCTTCCTTTTGCTAATTGAAAAACAATTTTGCTTTTGTCGTGAAAAGAAATTATATAATCCCATACTCTCATTTCGAGCAGTTATTATTTATTATATTTAGCCAACATATATTTTCTTCTGTTACTCCTCTTTATGAATTTCCTTGACTTGCTGAAGAAGTTGTGAATTTGCAGCCTCCCGTGTTTTCTGTCCGTTTTCCTCTTGTAGGAGGGGACCATCTGAAAGGTTCCATATTCACTGATATTACTACTTTATCTGGCAGGTCAGCCATTCTCAATGAATTTTGCAGTGCGATTCTGACAAAATCTATCAGAAGTTTTGGGGAAAAAGGAAAAATGAGAGTGCATCCTCTGCGTAATGTTAACAAGTATGTGTAAGGCTGTCTTTACAAGGGTCCAAAAGCTTACCCTACTATTAATCTAGGTATTTCCAACTTGACATTGATGTAGTATTTATGTATTTCTTCACTATCCATGGAAGAAAGAGCTTTATTGATAAGAAATGGAATGAAAACACTGATGTGTGTTAACAGGTAGTGTGAGGCCCTTGTGCCTTCTATGTAGTATATGTCAATCGTTTTAAAGCATGGACTTCTGTATATGCCAGTACATGTACTAATGCAGAAGATTATGTTTTTAACGCCTAATTAAAAAAAGGAAATATAATCTAAAACTTACCTCTTGAAACATCACTAATTCTCTACCCTAAAACCTATTTCTCAGCCATGACACCCAAGAATTAATTTCTAGAGAAGAAATGATGTTCTTTCTGTCATAGAGTTTAGATTCCTCTCCTATTTGGAGGTTATTGTCATGCTGGTTGGATTTTTATTCCATTTGTCAATGAAGATATATTAAAGCTTGTTAATCTTTTCATTGGTATATGAAGGTAAAATTTCAACAGAACATTAATCAAACTAGCTTTGGTAACATTACCTATCAATCCATCCTTCCTCCAGAATATTTTTCTGTAGGCTGTAAATAATATTACTTTTTCCTATAATTTGAGAAATTATGCTTGACGTAATTAATGTCTTCAAAAAAACGGAAGAGTCTTGTTTTTGTTTGTTTGTTTTGTAGTTGTTGTTTTAAACAAGCAAATCAAATCAAATCTAAAAGAGAATCAAGAATTTTTACCTTTTTTATTTGAGAATTCAACTTTGGATATATACTTCATTAAGATTTTTGTTTGTTTTCCTGTTGTTTTCCCACTGCATCTAGAGGCTCTTAATCTTTTTCAGAAAATGTAAGATTCTTCTTGGACATGAGTTAATACAAATCACTAACTTGTTGTGTTGTTCCTTTGTTAACTGTGAGACTCAAATTCTCAATCTTATTGCTACTTAGGTGAACGTGTGCTCAATAGCGTTCCTTTAAACACACTAAAATCACAATAATTGTGTATTTAGAGCTCTAACATTTGATTTGCTCTCTAGTTTCCTCCAGTTTATATTCTATTTTTTTCTTTCTAGAAGTAGAGATTAACTTTTTTTTTCCGAGTGGGATAACAGAAGTATTGATAGAAGAGAAGGAGATATTTTTGAAATTAAGTAAAATTCATGTAACTCAAAGTCCAACTCATCATCAGATTTTTAAAAATGTAACTCATTTTCTACACTTTCTCATTTCTTTCTAAATAATGTATACAGTATCATTCACCTACCTACAGATATCTGAGAGCAAAATTCCTCCAATTCAAGTAGACTCTTTTCCCTGGGTTCATTTCAATCAGTGTTTGCATTTTTCTTATTAAGATTGATAATCAAGACAATCAAATAAATTTTAATTATATAAATCATCTTCATCTTACAGTAAACTACTCAGAGGGACTCTAGGCTATGAGAAGATTATAATAAATCAGGAAAAATTTCAGTCTTAAGAATATCTTGGTTTTTCCTGATTTTTACCTACTGACTACTTCAGAATTATTGACTCAAGATTTAATATATATAATTATTTAACATTTTAAATAAATTCTATCTCATGATCTTGAATGACATTTTTTTAAATTTTAAAGAAATTCCTAAAATCTTTAAGCAAGCCAATATCTTCTTCTCTTTCCTTCTTTTCTTTATTCCAGTTGCCTAACTCACAAATATAATCATTGACTGCTTCACATTAAGAAAGGCAGGAACAATATTTGATTATAAACTTAAATGAAAATGTAGTATATGCTTGTCAAATACCAGTCTCTAAAAATGATACGACAAATCTCATCCAAAAACAAATTCTGTTTGTATTTAACAATGGCCTAAAAAGGATTAAATAAGCAAGAATGCTAGTGAGAAAAATTTACACTCCTTCTATCACTGTATCTTTTTCTAAAAAAAAAAAACACTCAGTCTAATAAGAGATTTTATTTGCCCCAATTTCAACAAATCTATTTACATTTACCTTACATAGTTTTTGTTCTATCTCACTGTTTTAATATGATATAAAGTGACTTGTTTACCAGAGTATTGACTTATTTTTAATTATACAGACAATTTAGAGTGGAATAATATCTTAAAAGCCTGTTTTTGGTGTCTAGATAGCATATTAACCATTTGCTTGATGGAGGTACCTCAAAAACAATGCTGGCCAATGATTTCATAAAGAAAGAAATCTAGTAGTCCTGTATATAAAATTTATCTCAACTACAGGAACACAGCTTAGCCATGGGTACATATATATATACTCAATATATGTATATATATGCAAACAAATATTTTCTTGTGTGAGCCGTGAGGTGGGTGGGAAAAGCAGATCAAGAACTCTGCATTTACTGAAACTGTAAAATAACTGATAGAGTATATGCATAACATATCTTTGGTTCTCGTTCTTCAGAATAAATACTACTGCTGGTATGGCCACTAGACTAATGTTGTTTCTCCTCTGAAATCCAAGGTTTTAATCAATAGATGAATCTTTTTTCTTTCCTCTGTCTTGTTCACTGTGCACATACCCCCTGAGCTCCAAGTGTATAACAAGTGCACCCAGATATGAGAGTTATGTGAGTGGACTTCAGATACCTGGGTTCTGACCCACTTCTGCCTCTCACTGGCTGTGTGGCCTTGGACAATTCATGAAACGTCCTTGAGTCAGTTTCCTTTTCTGTAAATAGAGACAATAAAGTATTACTAATTGGGTTATTATAAGCATTAAAGGAGAATATATCTAAATTAGTTAACACAATGCTTGATGTAGTTATGCTAGAACATGTTTGTTACAAAAAATGATGTACAATATTCAAACCACTATCTCTTCTTTCATCAAACAAGAATAAGTTTTCCTACTCCCTTTAATAATAAAACGTATATATCTTAAACATATAATTAATTGTATTTGGTGAATATAGGAAACTATCCTCCCCATCACTATCCAATAAATAAAAATTTGTACTGGTCCCTGCTATTGTTCTGACCAACATTCAGAGCAAGGTTGTTCTATCTCAGTCCATTCTGTTGAAGTCCCTTTATCCCTTTCCTCCTGTCTACTTCTTCCTCAGTTCATTCAGTAGAATATCTCCCTAGCACCTTCTCTTTATATCTCTCTTCAATTCCTTTGCAACCCAATAGATGTTCTATCAGGAATATCAGATCTAGAGGTACAACTTCCTCAAACCAAAGGAAAGCCACCAAATTTAATGAAGGCATATATATAAGAACGAATCAATACTTACAGAATCTAGATAATGACAAGAAAATCTCTTTGAATTCTCCACGTCTTTTTTTTTTTTTTTGAGGAAGATTGGCCCCGCATTAACATCTGTTGCCAATCTTCCTCTTTTTTCTTTTTTCTCCCCAAACACCCACTACATAGTTGTGTATCATGGTTGTAGAGTTGTAGCTCTTCTATATGGGACACCACCTCAGCATGGCTTGATGAGTGGTGAGTAGCTCCGTGCCCAGGATCCAAACCGGTGAACCCCAGGTTGGCAAACCCTAGGCCGCCGAAACGGAACATACAAATTTAACTGCTATGCTACTAGGCCAGCCCCTCCACAAGCCTTTATCTTTAACTTCTACTAAGATCTCCTTTCCACAAATGAAACATTGTATTATACCTCAATATATTGTTTTCTATTGTATTTGTTAATATCAAACATTATTATATTTTGTATTTTTCATTGTAAATGCACAGTATTTCAGGCCTGAAATAAGACATTTATATAAATAATTAACTTCCATTAAAAAATATTTTACTATTTCTCATATGTCTAAGGTCTTAATATACTATCAAAACCTGGTACATAGTAAGTATTAAACAAAAACTCATTAAAATGTATTGAAATATGTTGAGCAGTACCAATTTACTTAATTATTTGCCCAAGCTTAATGTATACCATCAACCTTCTTCTTAGTTTGCTTTACATTTCAGCTCCAGAAATTTTATTCATGGATTTCAATGCCAGAACTAGTGACTCCAAAATCTGTATTTCCAGCCCCAAATTAGTCATGAATTCCAGACCTATTACCCACCTTACTCTGTTCATCCCCATCTAACTATCTCCCGGGCACCTAAACTGAGCACATCCTCAATTGATCTCCTCCCCTTTCAGGTAAAGTTTCTGCTTCCCCTCAATCCCCTTGTCTTTTTGAAAACTACGCCCAACCAGACCAAGCCTTTAGTCCATCTGAGAATCCTTCTCTTCCACAACCCCAAGTTACATTGACTCTTTTCCTGAATGCCTTTCACTAAACCGTAGTTGCCCAATCAAAATATGATGTGAGTCACCAATGTAAACCACATAGGCAATTTTAAGTTTTCTAGTAACCACTTTAGAAAACTATAGAAAGATGAAAATAATTTTAATATTTTATTTAAAACAATGTATCCAAAATATTACTTCATCATGCAATCAATAAGAAAATTAATAAGATCTTTATATTCTTGTGTTCATACTGAATCTTCAAAGTCCAATTTGTA